TTCCCAAATCAGACAGAGAAAAAGAATGTCCCCTGATAGGAAGTATCTATGTCCTGCTATAGCATTTCCCCTAATTTAGGTTGCATTATTGATGTACAGGACTCTGTACTTGAATAATGTAACAGTAAGGCTCTCACAGAAAGCACCAGCATTGGCTTTAATGTGTGTCTATAAAGATAAGAAAAATGTATTTTAAAAGTCCAGCAGCTTTCAAACAATATATTTTCAAGTTGCAGGAATGCTCACCACAAGGAATTTAAAATTGAGGTGAGAAGGGGGGGCAACATTTCTTCTAAAATGCTAATGAGGTACTGCCTTATAAAGTGAAAAAAAAAATCAACAAATCTGACATATGAACAAACATTATGAATATTCAGGAAGCTTAAGCTGCTGATTTAACGTTTTCTAGGAGTGTACAACTTTTGCACTGATCACACAAGCCATTCTTTTTCTTCTCATCATGAGCACACTCGACTGTGGTGTCGGTGTGCTGCTGGAACATATGCGTGGAATTGCAGGGATTGTAATTCATCCAGATGGCAGGAAGCTCTGGAATTGTTACTCCTATGCTACAGATGTTTAACAATCCAACCATATGGCTGCAATAAGGCAGCCTTGTCAAGGAGTACAAAAACTGCACTAGCCACAGAGCCCTGTAAATGGGAATTCAGTCCTGAGGTGGGAATGTTCATATGGCTGCACTAGAAATGCACACATCACACTAGGAAGCTGGCGTGGCTATTGCAATTACAGAATTTATGAAACATTATTTAAACTCCTGAAAACAATCAGGCCTCATATTTGCATAATTTCCCCAAGTCAGCTATTGAAAGAACATTCCTCATTTGCTTTTGAAATTCATTAAAGGCATCAAACAAAGGTGAGTTGAAAAGCTGGGTAAATAAATACATGTTAATACAATAATGTCCCTAGCCTCTGGCCTGACGGAAATATCCCTGTAGGTAAAAACTGAGATTCAACCAGTGAGACCAACAATTTCTCTAGAAAAAGATTTGTCAAAGTCAGGGAGCCTTGCTGATGCTTGTGACAATTGTGATGTGGAAAGCTGAATGTTGAGAAACAATCTGAGATCAATAATATCTTGGCCAAGAAAGGAAAGCACCATGAAATGGTCCATCTATAACTCTACTGAATTTTGGCAGGTTTGAAAAACAGATAAATGGCAGAAAATCAGATTGTTAAATCACTAATCCTGTCATTATTACATCCTGTCACATTGCATAGATTTAGACATTAGAAAAAGAGTGTAAGGTAGGAGAGTGAAGAAAACACTTAAAAGCTCAACTCAATCTGTGAAGAAAAGGTGAATTCCCAAATTTTGTTTCATGGTTGGTGCTTTTCTGCCCAAAAGTCAGTTGGCAGTAGCTGCTGCTCAGAGTTCCATCTGCCTTCCCTCTGATGTCAGGTCTCTGACCCTTTGTTCCCCACAAGAAGTGTCTCCTCTGTACAAATCTGTTGTGCAAGAATAAGATTAAAATGGACAGAATGAACAAAGCATTGGTCTCTCAGACAAAAATGCATCCATTTAGCACACAGGGCATCTTTCCACCTGACATATTCTTAAAGGGAACTATTCAATTACCATCTCCTCACAGGCTAGAGAGCACAAAAGAGCCATGTAATATTCTTTTTCTCTTTTTTTTTTTTTGAGCAGCAAAGTATTCAGAGCTGTTTTATCTACCACAGATACTAATCTAGGCAATATAATTTTAAAACATCCTTACAAAAACCTTGAAGGGCAGTTGAACCCTGTGGTTGTTTAAAAAAAGATTTTCTGCAGTTTATGCATTTGCTCTGCCAAAAGCTTACCTTAGCATACAAAGTACAGTAAATCATAGCTGCTCTGATTTACTGCCCAGACTGTGCTGTTTGTTTTCGGGGACAGCTCAGGGAAAAGCTCTGTCAAGTGTAAGAACATTCAGAGAAGGGGAATCGTTTTGCAAAGCTCCCACAATGGTAACAACATTTCTAAGGTATCAGTGAAGGAGAACAAAAATGCAGATGTGTATTTGCAGCATTTTTCAAGGGGGGATTTTTTGAATAACACTGCAACCCCAAAGTATTTCAGGCCCTTTGGAGGCACAAAAACAATTTCATACCCCAAAACTGTTTAGCCTAAGTATTAATGGACTGGCCGATTGTATAATTTACCAGGCAATCAGTTAAATTATTGGACCATGTGCCTGAATTCCACATTTTATTGGGTAGCAGATGCCAAAAAGGGAAAGAAGACACCAGAGAAGTGGCAGAGCAAGAGCTCTGGATCAACGTGATTATTTAGAACTGAGGGTAAATTTTATTAGACTTAATCTATTTAGTAAGCCCCAACAGGAGGACAAAGATAAAACCATATATCTGACATCCTTTTGAAAGTTAGTAAATGAAAAGGGAGAAGATCAAAACAGTAGCTGAAAGCCTTCACTTCTGTTTTAAAATCCAAGAAACAGTCATTAATAGAGATTTAAACTCAGCCCTCTCTAGTCTAAACATGTCACTGTTAATTACAAAGCCATTTAACTTTTGCAAGAAATAAAGACTGCTATTAATGAAAGAAGAACCAATTAGCCTTTAATCTACACACTGTTTTTTAATCAAACTTTCTTTTGATCATCAGACTCACTGCAGGATGTATCCCTCCTCCCCATGTTGTAGTGGCTTCCATGATTGCTAATGGAATGGATTTTAAAGGGCTGGCTGAGCAGGGAGAGCCCTCTCTGCAGGGCTGGAGCTTCCCTCCCTTCCTGCCAGGGACAGCTCAGGAAAAGCTCAGAAATTTGTGTCCTGGCCACTCCTGGAGCAGATGCCTTTAGAGGAGCAGCACTGAATGTGTCTAGAGGAACGTTGGCCAGGAGTGCTGGACAACCTTGTTAGGAAACAGCAAAAAAAATAACAGTGGAAAGAGAAGTAAGAAATGGGATGGAAAAAGGCAAAAGCAGAGAAGCGCCTCCAGGAATGAAAATGGAATTCACTGCTGACTGCTAAGGATGATGAATGAGAGAATTTGCTTGTTGGCACAGGAAAATAATTGTGGAAAAACAAAACCAAACAAATGGGATCAGGGCTCAATGTCTTACAAACAAAAGGGGTGACACGAAAAGGATCCCATTAGCAAAATATTGTGCCTCCAAAGTGTTGTTTGAGGGCTCAGAGAATTTCAAGGAGGTTTTCTGTTTGGTTTTTTTTTTTTTTTTTCTGCTGTGTGGCTACTTGTAGTAGCAAACTAATAAGTCCAAGTATCTGGAATCCATCATGATGGAGAACTTCTTCCCTGACATCATTTCCCCCTTGGCTGCTGTTGCTGCTCCGATCTCCGGGAAGGGCAGAGAGCAGATGTCCCTGAGCACACACCAGGCTGATAATGAAATACAAGAACCTGACTCCTGCACATGTAAACAGCAGAGAGAGTGTAACCATTATCTGCTCTGTGTCAAACACGGGGCTCTTGGTCTGACCAGATACCTGCTGCCTGCTCTGCATTAGCAAAATTTCAGTGTATGCTGCTCTTTCTCCACCACAGAAAGATAAAATTTGCCTGGCGGCAGCAAAACACTAAGTATTAACACTACCAAAAAACCACTTCAAAACAAATGTTAATATCCTCAAAGAATCAGAAAGTCTGGAGAGATTTATTGTTGCAATAGTATGGCAATTAAAATTTTTTTAAAATAAAAAATCAATAGATTGCAGGGAGAAAAGTGATAATAAATATGGTCTGTGACAGGATTCTGAGTAATGAAATTCAAGACTGTAATAAAAGTATGTGGAACAACTGCTGACATGGTATTGACACCTGAGATATTTGAAGGTAGGTACATACTTACCATAGGAATGATTACAGCAAAGACAATAGGTTGCAATAAATGTTTTTCAGGACTTGACTAACAGCATTTTGCACTTCAAAAGATCAACTTACTACACTTTCTGTAAAATAATTCTAATGCCTTATCTCAAAGGGCTGGTGATTTTTCACAGTGCAAACCCCTTGAATGTAACTGTTTGGCTTAAAGGTCACTGAAAATGAGATCAGGGTCCATTCATGGTTTTCAGCTGCTCATGTATTACAATATGAGTCCAACACAAGAGCTCAGATAAAAACATCAACAGAGCTAAAAAGAAAGATCTGTAAAGCACAATACCAAAATGTTTGAAGTGAGCTGGGTAATTGTATCATTTTCACATTTATTTCATGGCATTATAAACCTGTTAATAAAATTTGAATTCTGATGCTGATCAAAACCTCTTTGTGTTTTTCTGGTGTCATAATCTCATGACCCAAGACCTAGACAAGAGCTCCCATCTCCACTCTCCTTTTGAGCACATGCAGAACACTCAGAAGGCTGCAATACTGAAAACATGTGACACTAATGTACACTAATGGAGGGTATTTTTAATTAACAAAGCTCTTAGGCATTGCTGAAAGATCCATTTTGATTTTTGTCCCCCCTCATATTGACCTAAAACACTCCAGAGCTCTGTATTTATTTATACAGTACAGTCAGGAGAAAGTTCTTCTGATATTTGAGACGCTTTAAAAAGTTAAATTGTTGATGGGAACCACTGTGAAAAAAAATGAGATTTTAACTAATTTAACTTTTTTAGTAAGATCTTTCAAAGGTAAGAGGCAGAACCTTTACACTGATGCTTAAATTATGTGATGGCTTATTCCTGAGTGCTCTCAGTTCCCCTAATTCCTTAACACTGCTGAATACTTGCATTAATTACTCCCCAAAGTAAACTCTGAATCAAGAAGGCACTAAGGAACTTCACTAACTCCCTCCCCAAGGACTCCAGCCAAATTCTCCCTACTTACTCAAGACGCACATACCCAAACCGCCCCGAAATATTCCATCCCCGCAATCCTGCCTGCGATCAGCGCCGGCTGAAAACCCTAAAAACCAACCCTAATGCAGAGAATCTTTAATTTCTCTAGAGCTGCTCCAAAGGCCACCCTGAGCTGTGCCAGGTGAGTGTGTACATACGGATGCAGTAGTCGCTGCTCTCGTAGTAGCCGGGGCAGCACTGCGAGCGCCGGCGGTACATCGTGCGCAGCCCCCTGCGATACGCGGTCTTGTAGCTGATCCTGCAGCACGAGACACAAAACCATGGGACACTATTGAAAATCAATGCCTCCTGCTGCAATGATATTTGTGTTAAATTATGGTAAGGCTAGCATTCAATGATTATTTTTAAATACATGAAAGCCTTTTGATAATAAACGCCACAATAAGGGAGGAATCGATACTTGTTTTGAAGCTTGAAATATGACTCGTGTTATGAGCACAATGCTCATGACAGTCACTGGAGCTCTTCCTGGGACAGCTGCTGCCTTAAAACATTTTCCCAGTCCTGCTGCAAGGGCAAGGAGGTTCTTCAAGAATAAATGACTTATTTTTGCACATCAGCAAGGTCAGATCTCATCAGTGGAAGGAACAGAGACCACTGTGTCAGCTGCTACACAAAACCTTACCACAGTGGCAGCTGCTCTCGATACACAGCTTGAGAAGTTAACCCCAAGTAATTTTTCCTGCTTGCTAAACCTTCCAAGGCACCAATACCTTGGAAAGTGTCATTATAGTCCCAGTTCAGCATGTAAAGCCTGGTTTCCCCACCACAATACTGTAGTCCACAGAAATTGAAAGGTGTTTAGCATTCTGAAGCATTCCTACATTTATTCATAGCATTAGCAAGGATAGCACCTTAGAAAGGTAATATTTAACTGCATATTTAACAGCAAACACTTCAAAACAGCTTTGCTAGTTTATGGAAATTACCTCAATTGAACAAAATCTATTGTCCCTCATGTTGGATAAACTGATCGAATTTACTCTGCTGCATTCCAATCTATACAATATTCCAGAAAGCTCTGCAGCTCTGTTCACTTCCAAACTCTAACTCAGGAGCTAAAAAGCCAAGTGCCTTAGTCCCACTGGGATGGTGCTCAACAGCCAACTTGCAACTGAATTCATGAGAGTTGAGATAAAAAAAGGCTTCTAAAACCCCCTTGAAAGATTGTGAATATTAGTGGATATTTATTAGGATACTTTGAAAGCAGAATGGATATAAAAGAAATATCCTGCAGCCTGGGAAAAATTAACTCTTTAGTACAAGTTTTCATACAGTCCTAGAAATGGACCCATCTTCATTTTACCTGATTTTCAGTGCAGATTTGGGTGCACTAATTCTAACACAGATCCATTTCTAATTATCACTAACCCTCAAATGCCTGATTATTCACAATTTAGGAGCTGCATGGACTTCCTTTTACAAACCTGGATATGCACCAGTCACTTGGAAAAGAGAATTGGTCATGTCTGGTCAGGGAATAGACACTTCCAATCCCATGTCAGGGCCAGTGGAATGATACATTCTCCTGGATGGCTTCATGAAGGACTGACTATCACTTATCTCACCCAAACTTCAGGCAAAAATCTCTGCATTTCTATTCAATGCCCTGGAATTCCAAACACACATCTTTGTATTGGAGCACCACAAACTTTAGGGTAAACAAGAGGTGTGTGAGGAGCTGAACAGGCAGCAGGAGGATGAGGTTTCTGAGGATGAGCTCCTACCTGTGCCTGGTGCACTTGAACCAGTTGAGGATGTCTGTGCATCGTGTGTAGTAGATCTGGTCAAAGGGGTGAGCGTAAGATTCCTGCACGGTCACGGCGTAGCTGAGGGGGGGACAAGGAAAGAGGTGAGAGGCTGTGAAAAGCAGCAGTTCCCTGTATCTGCTGCTCATGGAAGTCCAGTATGAAACATATTTACATCAAGAATCTTAGAAACTTTGGGTATTAGCAAAAAGCAGAAAAGGGCTTCCTTCTGCTAGACCACTTCCTGAAAAGTTTGGCTTTATGATACAGACATAGAGATATCACTGTGAGCAATAAACCATTCTCTTTTGGGAAAAAAAAAATATTACTAAAATTCATGGAAATTTAGAAGGTGAGAAGTGAACGGATATGGGCAAAACCTGGGCAATTTGCTGAGAAATCACAGAGCTCCAACAATAGTAAGAACTGAGCAATCCTCCCAAAACTTAGCCATGCAAACCACTTAGCCATGCAACAGGTTCCATGTTCGTTATTGTAAGGTGTCTCACATGATACAAGAACCCAAATCTCATGCTGGGGTCAGTGGTGGCAGAGCACTGTCCCACAGCAGGTGTGTGCAGTGCTCACGGGACTCCTGTCTCAGGTGCTGGTCTGGACACAGGCCCCACTTTATCAGATCCACATCATCTTTGGAGAGCAATACTCAAATCGACCTAGGCAGGTCAAGACCCAGGAATTAGATACTCTAGGTCACTCATTATATGGATTGTCTTAATTCTGCAGCTGATTTCCCCCTCATCAGCAGGACTGCAGATGTGATTAAGCCCTGGGAGATTGCACCCACAAGGCAATACCAAGATATTTACTTGGAGGGGCTGGCTGCCTTGAAATCGAAGATTGGGCTGTTCCTGCCCTGCTCGTCGTGTCCCTTCCAGAAAAGCCAAGGTTCCCCTGCTTTGACCCCTGTCACTGTTTGCTGGGTTTGGCAATAATGTTTTTACTTCTGCTAATGCCAAAATATAAAATATTTACATTGCTCATTATTAATGTAAGACAGTAACACTTGCAAATCTCAATTATTATTTTATGATCCCGTTTATTATCCAGCATTAGCCCCAACAATCTTTTCCCTTTGATTTATTAACATCTAACTAACAAAGTCATCTTGGTCAGTACAACCAATCAATTTTGGTATTTAATTTTTGTTTCTCCTTGATTGGGTCTCTAGGTTGCTGACTTTCTTCAGACAAAATCAATATTTTATTCCTGTGCTCTGAATGCACTTCCAGCACGCAGAATGCAAAATCCATTTCCTGTACAGCTTTTGCTTTGCAGTTGCATTATCTACAAAGAGTTAATTCTCTAATTAAGGCTTCAAAACATAGTCATTAAATACAATTCTATTTTTACCTTTGTTAAGGGGTGTATTTTGCTGAAGTGTACAGCAATTCAGATTTGTGTGGAATAGAACCAGAGAACAGAACTGGAAATGTATCAAGTTAAACTGAGAAGTACAGGACCTTTAGCCCCTGCAAACAACCCCTGTGTGAGTGTGAGCCCCATCAAAGGCTGTGGGTTTCTCTGTGCTCACAGGAACTGGCCTGCTCAGATCCACTTTTAGGACCAGGACACTGAAACAACAGAGAGAACAAGAAATTCCAGGGCCTTTCATGTTCAATGCTTTCGTTCACTCTTTGATGCCGACACGAATTTGGCAGGAAGAGCCCTGAAGTTCAGGCCAGACAAAAACAGCCAGGATACTGCAGCAGGAAGGGCTTCAAACTTTCTTCCTGGACAACAAGCAGAAAAAAGCAGGACAGAATAAGGCCAGCATTTCTGTGGGTCTCTCCATGATGGATGCAAACACTTCAGTGCATTCCTGTTCACCAGACTCTGGAGGAGCTTCCCAAAGTGCACAGGGGGGATGTGGTCGATATCTGCAGCCTTAGAACCAATTTCTTGGGATGAGCCAAACCCTCCAAGGCACTCCAAAGTACTATTTCTGTAAAGCAAATCTCTTTTCTGAGACATGGTGGTATTTAGCTAATTATGGCTCTCAGCTTGCTTTCTAAATGTAAAAGCATGAAATGGATTATAAAAAAAAATTGGCAGGTTACACATTACCTTTCCCAATGACTACAAACATTGGGATCATCTGGATTTAGGGACAGAGTAGTTTTGAGCAGAAAAGTCAGAATAAGCCCTCTTAGAATCCACTGGAACAGCACATGTGCCACCATTGTTGTAGCTAGAGAAAGAGAAGAAAGTAGAGCCATTAGAGACAATTTTGAAGAAACTATCCTACTAGGCCTTTTCCTCCTTACTTTTGTGCAAATCCAAATACTGTGGAGCTATTCAGAAACTGAAATACTTGAAAAAGCAATCAACTAAACAGTAAAATGCTTTAAAAGTTCAAATCCATTCTAAAAGGAATTTATACATTTAAACCTAATAAAAGCAATGAATTTGATGATTAAGCCACCCAAGATATTGATAGCCCAAATGATTCTTCCAAAGAACATTTCTGATACTGATTATTTTTATGACAGGCTGTCTGTACTGACAAATAAATCACTGAGGTATTAAAGCAATCTATTCTTCCATCAACCTACAGGCAAGTGGGAGAATACCCAAATGCCCCCTTTGATTTATTTAAATGGGGCTTTACAGGTGTCAATATAGGCTGGATGTGAGACTCGTGCTTATTGCATGATGGAAGGAAAATCAATGCACTCCTCAAGCCCTGGATGGGGAACCACTGAGAATTACAGAGGTCAGTGCATTGGGGCACATTACATAGAACACTGAACATGAAATAAAAATATTTTCATTGCAACTGGAAAGAGGTTGTACAAAATTCACTGGGTGTGGTCTCTTCATCACCCTCCTGTTCATCTATTCAATGTACTGACTTACATCTGCTTGGGGCTTTGAAACCAAAGTTGTGGTGTTGGCCTAGAAGTCTCCAATGATACCAGTCAAAAATTCAAAACAGATAGAAAATAAAATTGCTTTTTTTGTAACAGCATTAGAGGTGTTAATCTGTAAAACATTAAGTCAGGAAAAAGTATTTTTAAATATCCATTTCAGGCATTTACATGGACACATAATTCACCATTCAAATCAGAAGTCCTAGAAATTATTCCTGGCAACAAGATTGCCCTAAAAATAGATTGAGTCTTCATATGATCATCAAAAAAACACATGGCTCATTGCCTCAGGGCCCAGAACAGCAAAGGGATGTTAAGAGGTTTGCTCTGCAGGGCCCTGATATACAGCCCAGCATAAAGAAGCCATCACAAAGCAGAATGAAGAGCCAGGAAACTGCTCAGAAATTACCTCCTGACCCAGAGCCTTCTTAGCCAGTTCAAGGACACCCATTGCCTTTAGTGAATTCAAGTCAAAATCCCAATGGGAGCAATAGCTCATCTTTTAAATTATTCCTAGAGCACTGCTAAACCCAAAGAGAGGTCTTAAGCCATGTATTTCATATTAATGTTAATTAACATGATTTAATGCTAATGTTCCTCGTGAAATGGTTTTAAGTCAAGGAGTGACCATTTTTTACCTGTGGGCTTTTCCAAAGTCCCACAGCAACAATGCAGAAGCTTAGTCTGGAAATCCAGAGGGCTGACAAGGCAAGGATGTATTTATGGAAAAGCCACTGCCAATCCCTGTCCTGGGCACTGCATGTCCATGGAGAAAATGACTCTGGAGGAGCTGAGCTGTCAAAAGTCCCAATGTTTCAACAGTCAGAGCTGTGGGAGAGCAGAGCTCAACATTCCTGAGCACAGCATAGACAGGGGATGTGAACAACCCAGGGATGAGGCTGCACAAACTGGCAACCCTCTAACACAAATCCCTGCTAAAAATGCCTTTATTTGTGACTCTGGGCAGCACTGCAATAATGCCAAAGCACGGGGATAATTGTCTTGGCACTGTATTTCCAGGTTGTAATTTACCCTCCTTCTCCATCCTCTGCACCTTTGGTACAGGGCAGGGCTGAGCAAGTGGGGCTAAAGAAAAGCTCCTTTTGATGGGCAGGTGTGGGCAAAGCTGCTCCAGGAGATGCAAATCTTCAGAGAGAGATCAAATCTAAACATAGTTCTGTGCTCAGTTCGTTAACTTCTGGAGAACATCAACAGCCTGGGTCTGTTACATTAATTACAAGCAGAAAGGCAGCCCGACTTTAAATCAGTAATTTATTGCCTGCATTTGCTTTCCATCAGTTATCAGGAACTGAAAGGTAAATAATAATTAATTCAAGCTAGAAATCAAACTTCTCCCTCACTCCAATTTCTTCTCCTTTGGTACCAACTGAAGCCAGTGTCCTTGAGTTCAGGAGAAAGAAAACTTTAAGAGATTTGCTTAGAATACACCAGATGCTAAGAAAGAGACTCTTAAGATCACTCATTCTTGCTGAAAATTACCCATTCTTTATATTGAATTTTATATATCCTTTATATTAAAGTATTCCCTACAAAATAAAAACAAATGAGAATAGAGCCCTGCTGCCTCACTCACTCTAAAGAAAATGAGGACTAAAGCAGCCCCATATTTGAATTCTGTAGTTCTCAGAGACTTCAATTTGTTCTTAAGAAAATGATGCCTCAGTTTAGTTTTTAAATCAAACAAATGTCAAAGAATTATTTATAATCCCTAATAGCATCCAGAATATTTTTTGCCATGTATTAGAAAGAGGTTCCAAACTGTTTTCTAAACTTGTATTGCTAATGCTCTGTTATTATCTGTTTGTGAGGGAGCTGCTTTGTGTCATTAATTTCCTAACTTTGTAAGTCAGATCGAAGATCAGAACCATCCAACTCCCCAAATCCAGCAGAACCTCATTCATCTCAAGTGTCTCTTTTTGTGACTCAAATGAAATATTTCACTTTGATCACTGTTAATAGAAAAGCCCTCGCACCAAAATGGAATGGTTGCTATTAAAGGAGTCAGAATAAAACTCTAAAAATAGGAGCACACATATTAAAAACCAATATCAAAAAAGAATCCAGTAATGACATCTAATGCTGGGCTTTCAGCTTTCACTGCTCACCACAGCACAGAGGAAAGTCCTGACTCAAATTCAGTGTTTGGGGCAGGTTCTCCAAGGAGGCAGCACCAGCCTTGAGGAGGACAATGCCTGTAACTTCATTAAAGCTACAGCCAAATTATTCCAACATTTCCAGAGCCTGCCACTCTCCCAGGACAGGCAGCCTGGTGGGCTGAACACCAAAATAAATGACACAAAGGTTCTCTGTGCAAGCCCCACATGGACTCTGAACTTTTTGTCTTTCCAGGCCTGATTTTTCTTTTCAGGAGTAAAAGAAGTCAATTTAGGTAAGATTTGGCAAGACCCTTTCAATCCAGAGGACAACCAGGTGGTTTTCACAAGTGTCTCACTCTGATCATCATAACTGATGAGGTATCTGGTAACCTCCTTAGGCTATTTTCTCCTATCTTTCTCCTTCCTTAAAAATTTCACTATTTCACCTACAATATTGATACAAGTCAGTGGTTCCATCACAAAAGAAAAGAAAGCTCCAAATCTTAGCTACAGAAAATCTAGTAGGTTGCAAATCATTAATTTATTTATCTGTGGAGTCTCTTTACAAAAAAACTCCTTTGAGGAAACTGTGCTGGGGTTTGCAAAGAGACCTTGAGATGCAGATGATCCTTTAAACTTCATGAACATCAGAGTGTGGAAAAACCAGGTCTGATACTCTCCTGCAGCACTACCCCTGAGGGTAGGACCTACCTGCAAAGAAAATAAGATCTCAAAGAATCCTTGCTGAGTGAAATAAATATCCAATAAAGCTTTTTCTAGATGGCGACTTGATTTTGTTAACATTCTTGTGAAAAAAAGACCAGTGTGTACTTTAAGTGGTCGAGGGAAAAAAAAGAAACCCAAAACTACAGGTTCAATTTCTCCTCTGCTTCCTTGGCTGACGGGCTAGAAAATCTAACTAAAAATGACCATTGGAGACTTTCGTGTTCAGGGCTTGAAGTGGTGAAACATTTCATTTTGACATCTCTGTCATAAAATATTTCATAACATGACTTTGACATGAAATTCAAAAAGAATTTTCAGTTCATGACAGAGTTCTAAATTGAATGTTTTTCCCTCAATTTGGGATGAAGTGAGCTCTAAACCAAGCAAAAACAACCCTAATTTTGTGTCTGGCTGTATGCAGAGGTGTTTTTCACTAGCCAACACCTTTCTTAAATCGTTCTGTACTTTCGAAGATCATAAAGTCGAAATGTTTATGCAGTCAGTTAACCTAGACTGAATTTTCCCCACAAATTTCCAAGCGACTCATTTAGCAAAGAGCCATGTTAAAAAGTCTTACCTTAAAGTGCTAAAAATTCCCAGTGGATCCTGTTTTTACCATTCCCCAGCACATGGAGACACAGGGCACATCAACAGGAGAGTGGGAGAAAACTCTTGGGAAGTCACTTGGCCCTGTGAGCAATCAGGAAAACCAGAAAACTGGGTCAGAGGAAATGTGTTTGGGGACGTGGAAACAAATCAAGGCAGAAATGGGACAAAACATTCAAAATAATTAGATAACAGAACATAATTGTGCTATTTCAGACCAATCCCACTATCCTGCTTTCAGGCAAGAGCAGGGAGCTTGGAAGGGGTAGAAGAACACGGGGGATGTAACACATCCCTCTTGCACCCTCCCAGCCTCCAGAAATTTGTTTCCTGTCATTTCTTACCTAATTTTGTTCCCATATAGACATTTCCTTCTTTAATATCCTAACAAGAAAGTCCAGTTTCTTTCAGGAAGTTTGATGTGAGTCCTTGAAAAAGCTTTCTGGAAATCTAACTGCACCTTCTTGATGTTCATGTTTCCTTTGAAGAGCTTTTACAGGTTAAGAAGGCTTCACAAAGCCATGTTGATTCTTCAAAAATATATTACATGCATCAAGATAAATAATTCTGTTCTTAACTCTGGTTTTTACCAAACAGGAAAATGAGGTGTGCCAAAATAAAAATTGGTCCTAGTATTTGTGTGGGAGCAATTGAGGAAAATTCAAGAGAGTGGTTGAGCCAGGAAACAAAAAGTTGGATTTCACTGGAGAAGCATTAAAGTGACGGAGTGTTTGCTGATTACACTATTTTAGTCTCTAAGTAGTAGCAAGCTTCCAACAAGCTGCCCTTGGTGGCATTCCTTCTTCTCATTCCATCTGAAATTTTCATGATAGTTTAGGCAAGGGATCATTTAAACACACACTTCATTTGGCTCCACATCAGATTTTGTTCGAAACAAGCTGTTATGAAAGCTAAATGAGGCCATGAGTTTCAAAACTGATCAGAGTTTTTTGGATGCCTCCATTTATGATTAATAACTTGAGATACCATGAAAAGACTGGATAATTTGCAGAGCTCAGGATACCTGCTCAGAACAGCTTGTTTTAATCAGGGCAGTGAAGAACAAAACCATTCAACCTCACCAGTCACCTCTAAAAGTTGTTGTCATGACCAACAGAAATATTGCCCGTGACAGGTTGTGGTTTTGTTTGTTTTTTAATGAAAATTTAAAGCTGTTTTAAACAGATAAACACTTCCAGGAAGGATCAGGTACTGAATACAAAAGCACTGACAATGTGATTCTTATCATCTGAGCACAGAGAAATTCAAGTGATGGAAGAAGTAGCAGAAACAGCAGACTGTGCCCTGGGCTGCTGTGTTCCCTCTGCTGGCACCTTGCACAATTAATGCAGGAGACAGGAGACAAGAATTAACATGTAATTAACATGACTTGGGAAATGAAAGAATAAACACAAAAGTCTGAGATTTTCACAGTTTATGGGGAAATCCTGCATCCTGAGTCCTGTGTGCTCAGTCCCACGGTCATCACCTCTGCTGCATCATCCTGTGAAGTGGGTGCTCTTCAGTACCAACAAAGGAGCCAACTCCATTTCCAAGATCTCATTTTAGAGGCTCTATTTTAAAGCCTGAATAAACACATCAGGGTCATAATTGCTGCAGTGCCCTCATGGCTCTCCCTTATACTCTCTGAACCAGTTGCTCAGTTTTCCAAAACGGGGCTGGGGGGCTGATTTCAGTGGGATCTGAACATCCAAAACTCTTAAGTTGCTTAAAGTTTCTAAGCTCTGAAATACATCCGTGTGAGTTGTGCTTGTTAGAGAGAACATTGTTACAGTTCCAGGGATAACTTATGGAGTCTGCAGATCTGCTTCAGTGCTAACGCTTTTCAGAGCTGACTTCTGGAGTCATCAGGAGCTTGGCCACAGCTAAGTGAGAATAAATAATAAAGTAAGTGCTGCTTAATCTATCAGATGTTATTTTTGGAAGCTCAAGATTGTTCCTTCAGTGCTCTCAGAGGAAAACTGGGTCAAAATACCACAGAGATGTGTCAGAGGCAAGAAATCTGGACAATTACTTCAGTTATGGCTAATGAAATATGTTTATCAAGAAAAAGACTGCTGGATGTGACTGAGCCTCTGCTTAAATCCCACTGGCAAAGATTCCAGGCCTGGCACTGGCTTAGCAGAGTGGGCAGGGCTGAGGTGGCTCCAATTTCCCCCAGGTTCTGCATCCAGTGTTTGCTATCTGAGACCACATACAGCACCAGGCTCTGGAACTTCAGGTGGAATTAATGACATTCAAGCTCTCAAAGTCTCAGTATCTTCCCCAGAGGAAGAGGAGTGGCCAGCCTGCCAGGTGCTTTGAAAATAAGCTTGTTACAAACTGAGAAGTGTTCATACACTGATGCAACAATGTGCAAACATGTTTGGCACTGCCCATCCATCCATGAGATTATTATCAGCATACAAAGAAGTGCAGACTGGATTTTATCAGTTCTTACACAAACTCCATGAACACTTGTGCAAAGCACAACTACCCATCCAAAAAGCTATTATTCACTACAATGCTAAACTTCTTTTTCTTAAATAATTGAACAGTTAATCAATAGTCCAGCAGAAATATAATGAAAATATTGCATTAACAACACCTAAAAACACTGCTGAACCAGTGCCCAAATCCACATAATTGCTGGCTCCTTTTCAGAAAGGTCAGCTTGGAAAAAGACTTTCTGTGATTTTCTGCCCATAATTTTGTACTTGTATACTCAACTACCAGTGTAAAACTGGAAGCCAGCCCTTTGAACGTGTCCCTTGAAGTTATCAATCCAAACTCAAGGCCACTGAAATGTTTGTGCTCCTGGTAGTGCCTAAGCCTGAGCTGTCCTCCCAGGCCCTGCCAGGGACAGGGGCTGACCTTCCCTGGCACCTTCTGCCCAAAGCAGCTTGGTGCTGCAAGGCTACCAAGGCAAAACCCTGGGCCCTGAAGGATTTCACCACAGACATTGTCCTGCAGGCTGGGAGACCCTCCTGGGGCAGCTTTCTCTGAACCCTCTCCACTCAAACATGGAACAAGGAAAGTCAGGAAGAGGCACTTTGTGCCTTTGGCTGCTCCCTGCACCTGAGGGATGCAGCAGGGATGGCAGGAAGGGCCAGGCTCGGTGTCCTCCCCACTGCTCCCAGAAATGTCACTCAGTGGGATGTTAAAGCTGCTGGAATCTGTGTGGGGAGTCACACTGGCTCCTGACTGAACAGTGTATTTATATTCCCTGTGCCATGCCTTTTCAGGGAAACCTCCACAGACATTCCATCAGGAGAGAAGGAGTCTGACACTCATCAAAAAGCTCATCACTGAGAAGCCAAATGAGCCTGAGTTGAGCTCACACCCAGCCACCCACCCAGCCCATGCGCAAGATGGCAAACAATTACAGCATATGCCTCCTGAGACACTTGGAGCAACAAAGGCCTCGAATCCCAGAACACCCAGGATAAATAAAGCAACCTGAGTGTTACAGCCATGCCCAGATGAGGAAAAATGTTTCTAAATATTTAGTTCAAACACCTCAGCTATTTATTCCAACAGACTTTTTTACAGCATTTAAAGAGTGCACATAAAGTTGACCTGAAAATCAGAGTAACAAGCAATAAAATAAAAGGAGGTTCAATAGACGCACCATGAAATAAATTAACTGTGATCTGTGAAAGTGCTGTGAAAGTCAGAAAATAAAAAAACCTGTTTGAAAATGTAAAATATCCTTTACGGTTATATATTTTTAAAAATTACTTCTATTTGTCAAGAACAATTGACCCTTTCTTTTTGTCTTCATTTATCTCAGAGGAAAATAAAATGAAACAAACAGCAAAAAAGTCCCAAGTACAGTGAACAGCTGAGCCAGGGACAAATTAAGTAACACAGATTGATGGCTGTTGATCTACAGCAGTGCCATCACATCCCAATGCTACAGCTCATATTTTAAAGATCCATCTCTTCTTTTCCAGAAACAGGGCAGTATTTATGGGAGAAGGCTGATTTGCAAGCTTTAGAGCTGCACTGCAAATCCAGATTCAGTTTTTTCAATTTGGCTTTAAAGTTGGTGAATTCCTTGGACTTTTGAGGCACCAAGCCAACAAAAACAAAACCAAACACTGGAATAAAATTAACACTGAAGCGAAACATGTATTTTTAAAAAATGCTGCAGACAGGGAAAAGCTTTTTCTCTTCAGTAGCTTCACCAGGCAGAAAGGAAATAATGTTTGCTACCTCTGCATCTCCACCTTTACTGACCCCACTGGTCCAACAGCACATTATCCTCAGCTCTTCTCCTGGGGCTTTTCCTAGAGCTTTATCTTCCCTGGCATTCCCTATTACAGCAGCACACAGGTTTCCTCCTCCTGCATTCCATTCACCTCTCAGCCTCTTGAAACCTTAATCTAAGAGTTTTTAATTTCATAGCTATTAAAGACATTGATATCCCAGACAGAACATAACTTTTTCTGTGGATGTCTGGTAAGTATAAGATAAACGTTCAATCAATTTTTAGATTTCTAATGGCTTAAGAATTAGAGTGGCCACATAAAAACTGCCAATTTTACTTGAAATACAAGAGGTTTCCTCAGAAGCTGCAATAATCCTTTGGGCTTTCCTGTGTTTCTTACGGACACATCTGGAACACCGTCAATACTGGAGGATTGATATTTGGTTCAATCAAAGCCTCAAGGTGGAAGTTCACAGAATTTATCTGGTTTTCAGAGCATGCATGCTGGTTACTCAGGTGCCTGGCTATAAACTGCCAGATTCAGGCATCCAACATGGAAAACAGGCTGAGCAGATGTGCCCTTTGCTAGGACACAGAGCTGATGCCATGGAGAAGGTGTGTGAGGAAGATTTCTGCAATCCCTGCTGGATTCCCCTGTGAACCAGGCAAGAGGAGTGCTGGGCATCAAGGGCTGCATTTGGGCTGGGGAAAGTCACTGCAAGAAGCAAAATATCTCTGCAATCCAGACTTAAACTTGGCTCTCTCAAGCACCCAGCACTGAGGGAGCCCCTCAGGCAACATCACCACAGAGGCCCCTGGTCACTCCCAGCACAGCAGCTGCACCTTCACTGAGAGGGGTCTCAGGGGGTTG